CTCGGGTTCAGGTAAGGACCTGATTAGCGATTTAGATTTCTGGATTTGGGCCATTACAGATTTGGTATCAGGGCAAAGGTTCAAAAACCTTTAGGACGACAGGTAGTAGCTTACCTAGACGGGGAAGAAGGTTGACTTGCATTGACTTTGTGTTTTATGCTTAAGTGTTTAATATTTTGAAAAACATGCTTACATGTTATGTGCTTACTAAAAGATGTGTTATCTAGCCATGCATATAAAATGTTTATGTGAATTAAAGCATGTATGCTAAAAGATTTGAGATTTATAATTTAGTTTATGAATGCTAAGTGCCAAGGTATTATTGTAACGACCCAAACCGGGGGTCTGGATCACTAATCGAGTCCTTAACTAAACTTGAGGACACACTAGGGGTAAAATGGTCATTTTATAATAAGAAAGGGTAATAAGACCTCAAACTAGTCAAATGAGGTCTAAAATAATTATTCTAGTCATTCCATGATACTCGGTGAAATTCTACGGTCATCGATTATGAGTTTCCAAAAGTACCCTTTCCCGGTTCAAGGGAAATTCCGACACTATTTCACTAAAATAAACATAACTCTCACCATGAATAGAATTTGAGGATGAGGCTAGTCCCATTGGAAAGCTAACTCAAAATCCTTGAAAATGGACTCAAGAATGACCCTATTTGGGTTCAGAATAAAGAAGTTATGACCATCTGAAGTCAAACGTTCCAAGCTGTCAACTAGAAAAGACAAAACAGTGCACTGGGGGACTTGAACTGGTTCATTGGGGGCTAAATCGGTTCAAGATGGGCAATGTGCCCATTCTCGAACCAAAGATCCCCCCTTGAACTGGTTCAATGGGGCTAAACCGGTTTAAGATGCCCAAAACCTCAAAATTGCCCCAAACAGCCTAAAATTGTAATCTTGTGCACTTTGGCAATACTTTGGTCCCTTAGTGACCTTACTCAAAGCCCAAACCTATCCCAAATCTTCCATATAATGATGAAACTAACACTACTAAGTGGTACTAAAATCAAATAAGGCCATACATGAGTCCGATACACCATTAAAATTAAACAAGAGCGTCATACATAAAAAATATGGCCTTAAGGCCTTACATGGATATTGAAATCTTAATGAGACCATAAAATACAAATGGATGGTCTTAAGACCATTTCCAACCATGTAGAAGATGATCCTTAATACTATTTACAATAAAAAAGGATAAAATACACATTGAGCACAAAAGAGTCCAAGTCCGTCAACCCGATTAAACTGGTGGTGGATTGTCATTTGCCACTTCTTTGCCGTGCCCTGAAAATGTTAATAATAAAGGGGTGAGCAAATTGCTCAGTAGGTGGTGCCTAAGACACACCTCTTGTGACCTCGTAAATCCAAACAATGAATAGAAAAATAAAGAAGCGGGATCATACAACTCCAGGGAGAAAATATAACCATAATATCAACAGCAAACAATCCAAGTCATAACGAGCCATGTCGTGCAATGGGATGCAATGTCATGCAATATCGCTCCCCATTTCCAAAACCTTTTCCATCATCATTTCCAAACCGTTAATGCAACTCGTCCCATGGCAGCTCCATGGTGACACGAGAGAAGGATTGGCTAATTGTCCTTGACCACAAGGCAACTCCAGGGGGGCCCAGTTAACTCAATCACACTAGGGCTGTCTCCCTAGTTCCATCTAGATCACATTAACCCCATGGTCCCTAGGCAGCTCCTAGGCGGTCAGGTTTTCGTAAACCTTTCATCAAAACCTTTTTTCCAAAATCATTTTCTTTCCTTTTTAAATCATTTTCCCATTTCATTGCCCAATGTCATGCATGAAATGCATCTTGCTTTTCAATGCCATGCCCATGGAGGATTTCATGCTTCACAAATCAAACATTAACAATATAGCATGCCTTGTAAAGAATTTCAAAGAAAATAAACATCATGCTTCTATATCACAACATCTAGCATTTTTCACACCATAGGCAAAAAATATCATCAATTAAGCATGTTTTTTCATATAATTTTAACTAACACATAGTCACATGATTTACAAAATTTCTATGGTATAGTTCATACTTTCAAGTCATGAAATTTAGCACCAAAGGTACAAAGAGCACAAATTAATCATCAATTAAGCATAGTTCATCATCATATATACCAAGCAACACATAGTCACAACTTTGGCACAACATATATACAATATAACATGAAATTTCTACAAAATTAAGCATACTAACCACAAATTAAGACAATTAATTCACAAAAGCCCAAGAAAATGTGAATTAGAAACCCCTATCTCAATTTTATAGAAAAAGCCCCAAATAATTCCCTAATTTTTGAAATTCCAAATGTGGCCAAACGGTGATTGGCTCCGATCAAATCGAAGATCTCGACGCGCTTTCTAACTTGTCGTAAACGGCACCAACAATCTTCAAAAGATGAGAGAGTAATTAAAGGTTGAAATTATGTAGAAAAGAAAAAGAAAAAGAGAAGGGAAAGAGAGAGAGAGAGAGCGCTTACAGGAGAGAGAATGAAAAATGATGCCAAAATGGCCTCTTTGGCCACTAAAAGGTAAAAGGGCGGGTCCCACCTCTTAAAAAAATCTCCCACCTTAGTATATGTGTGTGTGTGTTTTTATTCCAATTAATTCACAACCACATCCGCATAAAATAATACACAACCATAAGAATATGCACAAAATAATTATATATGAAATGCAATGGACCCAAAACATAGTCCCCGTACACAACAGTCCCAACAGCAGGACAGAAAAATAAAAAAATGCCGAAATGGCAACCGTTGCATTTCAAAGAGTCCTGAACTCAATAAAATACCTCAACCAGCTCTTGGACACACCCGGCACACCTTACGGTGTCTAGCACGCAAAACAAGAAAAGGCGAAAATGCCATCGAAAAATCAAAAAATTTCAGGAAATGAAAAATGACAAAAATCGGAAACATTATAATCTACCCTCCTTAAAAGATTTTGTCCTCGAAATCTACCATTCTTAAAAGATTTTATCCTCAAAATCACAAAGTTAAGATTTAACAAATGAAGTTGAAAAGAAAAAAAAGGTAATCATAGTTTAAATATTATATATAATGTATTTAAAGTTAAAAATATATATGAAGATAATATTATAATTGAGATTCGAGTTTGGTTGCTGACATCACAACCCAAAACCAACCTTAATTAAATTTGAGTTGAGATTTTTCAACCTATGCCTAACTCTAATTATAAAAATGACTCTTCAAGTTTACAAAAAATTGGGTTAAAATCGGATTAAATTTGAATTACCCAACCTAAGTTACACCCGAACGCAAAATTAAAAAATCAATCGGATTCACAAATTAAATACTTTAGGGGTAAAAAGATTAGGTAACTAGCTCGCATGGGTCGGGTTAACGGACGGAAGGACAGTTTAGATGGACTATCCAACTCGTAGTGTTTATTGAAATTTGAACTCTGCACTCTTCCCTTACTCTCTCACTAACTTGGCTCTCTGATTCTATTTTCTTTGCAAGTCTCTTACACGTTCTTGCTCTTCGAGTATTTGAAATCGTTCGACTCTCTATCTTCGAGTAAATTCGCAGTGGTTTATATTGAACTCAGTACTCTTCCCTTTCTCTCGCTAACTTGGTTCTCTGATTCTATTTTCTGTTCAAGTCTTGACGTTCTTGGTCTTCGTGTATTTGCAATCGTTCGAATCGAGATCTTCGATCAGGTAAATTTGGATAGTTCTCTCTAATTGTTTTTTTTTGCTAAGTGTTTGTCTCACAAACAATGTGATTTCTATGATTTTCAACATTCAAAACTCTCTGTCTACCGATATACGGACTTAATATATGTAATTTCATGCTAGTCTCCCTCTCTAACTGTTCAGATTCGATTCTGAATTAATGATTTGTGTAAACTATGAATTGATATGTGTGATGAGTCGAATTAATGATTTCCTTACTCATTCTTATTGGACTTCATATAATAGGGCATTCTGAGTTGTATGCTGAATGGATATATATATATATATATCTATATATATATATAACAATATCCATTTCTATTCATTTTTAGGTTAAAGATTCTCAGATTAACAAATATTATCTAACTCAATACTCTTCCCTTTCTCTCACTAACTTGGTTCTCTGATTCTATTTTCTGTTCAAGTCTTGACGTTCTTGGTCTTCGAGTATTTGCAATCTCTTCGAACAGGTAAATTTCGATGTTTCTCTCTCTAATTGTTTTTTTTTTTTTTTTTTGGCTAAGTGTTTGTCTCACAAACAATGTGATTCTCTGTCTACCGATATACGGACTTAATATATGTAATTTCATGCTAGTCTCTCTCTAACTGTTCAGATTCGATTCTGAATTGATGTTTTGTTTAAACTATGAATTAATATGTGTGATGAGTCGAATTAATGATTTCTTGAAAATATGTGATTTCCTTACTCATTCCTATTTGTCTTCATATAATATAGGGCATTCTGATTTGTATGCTGAATGATTATATATATTTATTTATTTATAACAATATCCATTTCTATATTTTTTTTCTATTCATTTTAGGTTAAAGATTCTCAGATTACAACTTATTCGATTTTGGTTAAAAAATTCATATAATGCAGGATCATCCTAATGGCTAGTTATCTTTGATCTTTTTTATTATTTATTATTATATATATATTTTGTTTCCAGCTTTTCAACGTCTCTCTCTCTAATAACGTAAAAATGAATAACATAAAAATGAATAATTTTTCTTTCTGTTCTTTCCAACTGTTCTGTGCTCTCTGCAATTTATCCTGAAAAGATAAAACATTATAATTCTTCAATTAATCTATTTTTTATGAATCAATAATTTTTATTTTTCTGTATTTATTGAATTAGTCATTTCACACTATATTTTGACTATAATGCATGGCTAGTGACGGAGTGTTATGTCTTTGATCTTTTTTCTTATTTTTTAATATATATATTTTGTTTTCAGCTCTTCTTTTGTAGGAATATGAATAATTTTCCTGTGAAGGTCCACGTTCCATTATGTGGAGTACGTATTGTTAATATTGGACCAATGGACACAGTATTGGATCTGAGAAACAGAGTTCAAGAGATAATACGCGTAGACCTTCAAAATGAGAGTGTGTTTTTCGAAGGTTTGTTACTTGACAACCATCAATATGTCATGTACTACAGTTTATATCCATTTAGCCGGGTTGATATTGGCAACCAACAACCACCTGCACCTCTCCCAGTTCATATCGCCAACCAACAACCACCTGCACCTCTCCCAGTTCATATCGCCAACCAACAACCACCTGCACCTCTCCCAGTTCATTTCGCCAACCAACAACCACCACCCTCAGCTCTCTCAGTAGTATCTCAGATAGAACATCCAGTACCTGAAGATTTCATAGAGGAGTTTTTGTTACACTCTCCTGCTCATGACTTTCTTGAGCATGTCATGGAACATAATTCCCAGCCTCTCCCAACGCCTTCCTCCGTCCCTCCTAATTCATATTTACCTCTTAACCTGCCAAGGATCAGCAGTTCCTCAGGATTTGGGTGTGGCGAGACAATGATCAGCAGTTCCTCAGTTTTTTTGAGTGGCCAGACAATGATCAGCATGTCCTCAGGATTTGGGAGTGGCCAGTCAATGATCAGCAGTTCCTCAATTTTTGGGAGTAGCCAGACAATGATCAGCCAGTCAATGATCCGCAGTTCCTCAATTTTTGGGAGTAGCCAGACAATGATCAGCAGTTCCTCAGATATGATCAGCAGTTCCTCAGGATTGGTCAGTGTGGGGAACTTTAATATGCAGTCTTCCCTCCCTCAAATTATCACAACAGGATGGGGGGGTGCCAATATGTCTCTTTACCAGCCTTCACGGATCTCACAATTGAGGGATATTGGGATGCCGCAACCAAACAGTGTGTAAGATATTATATTTGTTGATGGTATAAGCTTTCAAGGCTTATGGGATATATTTTTGAATTACCTAAAAAAAGTATCCATATTTTGCAGGAACAGTCATCCTCCGGATTGGAGGGGTGTTGAAAACTTTAATGTGCAGGCTTCCCTCCCACAAGAAGCTTCCAACGCGTCTCATTGCCAGACTTCACGGATGCCAACGGGGGATGTTGCAATGCCGCAGCCAAACATTATGTAAGATATTAGATTTCTAGATGGTATAAGTTTTCAAGGCTTATGAGATATATTTTTGAATTATCTAAAAAAAAGTATCCATAGGAACAATCATCCTCCCGATTGGAGGGTGTTGGCAACTTCAATGTGCAGGCTTCCCTCCCATGGGAAGCTTCCAATGCGTCTCATTCCCGGCCTTCACGGACACCACAGCCAGCGGGGGATTTTGGGATGCCGTAGCTATACTTTATTTAAGATATTATATTTCTAGATGGTATAAGCTTTCAAGGCTTATGAGATATTTTTTTGAATTATCTAAAAAAATTATCCGAATATGCAGGCACAATCATCCTCTGAATTGGAGGGGTGTTGGTAACTTTAATGTGCAGGCTTCCCTCCCACGGGAAGCTTCCAATGTGTCTCATTACCAGCGTTCACGGACACCAGAGCCAACGGGGAATCTTGGGATGCAGCAGCCAAACTTTGTGTAAGATTTTGTTTTTTCTAGATGTTATATGTGACAACCCGAAATTTTAATTAGCCTTTAATCATGATTGATTGGCTTCATTTGAGAGATACGGGGTGCATTCATAATTTTGTAGAGATGCGGTGCACAATATATATATATATATATATTATGGTGATAATTATGCAAGAAATAAACTAAGGAACATATATAGTGCATTGCCCAGCAGATATATTAAATAGATTACCTTGTGTCCACACGACACCTAAATATTTGGTCTCCAAAATGAGTTAGATGTGCAATATAAATATATATTTTATAGGGTGAAGTGCAATAAAGCCCCTTCAACTATGGTCTTATGAGCAAATAACCCTCTTGAAGTACTAAAGTAGCAGTTTACCCCCCTGAACTTGGGGATTTGGTGGCAATTTACCCAGTCCGGCCACCGGCATATCATTTTTGACCATTAAATTACACATGCCTGTCATGTTATACTATATTTGAATTAAACTAAGGAATGAACTAATGAACATATAGTGTGCATTTCCCAGCAGATATATTAAATAGATTACCTTGTGTCCACACAACACCTAAATATTTGGTCTCCAAAATGAGTTAGATGTGAAATATAAATATATATTTTATATGTAGAACTTTAGATAGGTGGGGGTTTGTGTACAGCAAATATGCTATGTGTGGGTGTCTAAAGCTAGACACGTGTGTGAGAGCCAAACAATAGGATCAGGCTGGTTGATGAAGCAGCCCATGAACCGCCTAAAGAGGGTATGTAGAGCAGGGGAAGAAAAAGAAGAAAATAGAGGGCTTCAAGGGAAACCAGAGGAAGAGAAGAGTTGTACCCTTGAGTCTAGAGAGAGAAAGAGGAAGGAAAAAAAAAGAAAGTAAAACCATGGAAGGGCTGAGGGCATGTCTTCACCACCACTTCTTCAATTGATTGTTTGGAAGGGAGTTGCTGATATTTACAGTTGAAGACTACCTTAATTTTGTAGATAAAGTGTTTGATGAATTGTTCCTTACAATTTCCTTGCTATTTTTTTTTTATGTAATTAAGAATTAAGTTGTATCAATTATATATTTAATCATGTTTATTCAGCATTTTGGTGATTTTGTTAACAGTGTTCAAAGAATATATAATTTTTTTGCACCCCTGGAATGGGTTGTTACAGAATGGTATCAGAGCATAGGAATTAGATCCTTTGGGAGTTTAGGTGTATTGGCGATATGATATGAAGTATATTCAAGGAAAAACTAGATGACTTCCTTAAGTAGAACAAATTCTATACTTGAAGGATTTTGAAGTTAGGAATGCAATAGAAATTGCACGTTTAAACTTTCTGTTGGATTGGGGTGTTGGAAAGAGTTGCATGATTTGAGGAATCTTAGGCATGTTAAATTGAAATAATTTCTCAAAGAACAAAAGTTAGAACTTATTGATTGTGTGTGGTATTGTTTAGGATTCTGATCAATAAAGAAAACAAGTGCCATTGGATTTTAGATCAGAGGCTATAAAATTAATTAGCATTATGTCTATTTTTTTGCATCTCCAAAATTTTAAAGTGGAATTAAAGGTTTGAATGTTGAATCAGTTCACTGCAAATGTTTCTATTTTGGATGAAATGTCAGTAAAGAAGTCATGATTGGTTCATTAGAGTGATTTGGATAGTGCTCTTTTTGTTTCTGTGGGTTGTTTCAATTTGTAATTGGAGCTTAGGAAATAAAGAAATGTGGGATCTCTATGCATATGTAGTTATTGGATTAAAACCGTGTACAAAAGAAAAGATTCTTCAACTACATGAAGGACTTCTAGAGATTGAAGTGGGATGCTATCTTGGCTTTTTGCAGACCAGCTGGCATTAATTATGCTACTAATGTTGATATTTTTGCCCCACTATAGGTATTAGAGAGATGAATTCTTTGGGGATTTCTTAATTGCACAGTAAATGGGAATTGTTAATGTGACCAGAGCTAGTGGCTCTCAAATCATTTGGCTTGTCTGGTTGAGATGAATTATGGATTTGTCATCCAATTTAAGCATGGATATCAGTTGGGTTTCCTGATTAGCAAATTAAGAGGCTGACTTCTTAGCTAAAGAGGTGTGATAACTTCTTGTGAGGTTATTTATTTATATAGTTTTACCTGCCTTGAGTGTGATAAATATAAGCCATGGTGGTTTCTTTCTATATATTAATATGCGGTAAGTGGAAATTGTTTGTATTGCATAATGTTGTTTTGATTTTCATTAGTGTGGCAAGAAAAATTTAAATAATTAAATGCTGAAATTGAGGTTATCCTGTCATGTTCTAAACTCACCATTTCTCATGCTTAATTGGCTTCAAGAAAAATTTAAATAATTAAATGCTGAAATTGAGGTTATTCTGTCATGTTCTAAACTCACCATTTCTCATGCTTAATTGGCTTCAAGAAAAATTTAAATAATTAAATGCTGAAATTGAGGTTATTCTGTCATGTTCTAAACTCACCATTTCTCATGCTTAATTGGCTTCATTTGAGAGATACGGGGTGCTTCATAATTTGTAGAGATGTGATGCACAATATATATATTATGGCCCAGCAGATATATTAAATAGATTACCTTGTGTCCGCACAACACCTAAATATTTGGTCTAAAAAATGAGTTAGATGTGCAATTTATAAATATATATTTTATATTTGGAACTTTAGATAGGTGGGGGTTTGTGTACAGCAAATATGCTATGTGTGGGTGTCTAAAGCTAGACACATGTGTGAGAGCCAAACAATAGGATCAGGCTGGCTGATGAAGCAGCCCATGAACTGCCTAAAGAGGGTATGTAGCAGGGTAGAAAAAGAAGAAAAGAGAGGGCTTCAAGGGAAACCAGAGGAAGAGAGGAGTTGTACCCTTGAGTCTAGAGAGACAGAGAGGAAGGAAAACAAGAAAAAAGATAAAACCATGGAAGGGCTGAGGGCATGTCTTCACCACCACTTCTTCAATTGATTGTTTGGCAGGGAGTTGCTGATATTTACATTTGAAGACTACCTTAATTTTGTAGATAAATTGTTTGATGAATCGTTCCTTACAATTTCCTTGCTATTTTTTTTATGTAATTAGGAATTAAGTTGTATCAATTATATATTTAATCATGTTTATTGAGCATTTTGGTGATTTTGTTAACAGTGTTCAAAGAATATGATTTATTTGCACCCCGGTATAAGCTTCCAAGGCTTATGAGATATAGTTTTGAATTATCTGAAAAAAGTATCCTTATTTGCAGGAACAACGACATTTTTTCTGAAACCAACGAGGTGTTTCACATCATCGTTTCTTATAGAAATGGCTTCATATTGAATGGTGGACCATTCAGGTCGTTGGTTTTTCCTAGAAATCGTGCATTTATGGAGGTATTGTTCTTTGTTGAAAAGACAGATATAAAAGAAATTTGATAGATTCAAAATTTAACAGATTGAAATTTTATTTTGCAGAGCATCAATTCTAATGCAACTCCAAGAGAGCTGAAGCGTAATCCCAGGAGTATAATTCATACAAGGCACTACCCAAATGACTGGGAATTCATTGTGAGTTTGATTACATCAAAGGGGGAAGCCTATACATACTTGAACTCAATGATACATGAAACTTATATTTTCTTACTTGTGTTTCAGGAGGAACCTGCTAGTAGCATTGTACCAGTCCAACCAATCCAAGGAGTTGAGAGTCTACCATTCCAACCAGTCCAAGGAGTCGGGAGTGTACCATTCCAAGGAGTTGGGAGGACAGCCGGCTGGAAGAGGGAGAGAACCACTGAGGATGCTTTGTCAGAAGCCAATGTCAATCGTATTGCTCCAGAAGCTCCAATAGTTTGTCTTAATGACGGACCACCTGCCGCCTTACTTCGAATCAGATTGGATGATGGAAGGTCTTTGATTGGACGGTTCAACCAACTGCACACCATTGCTGATATCCGAAGTTTCATTGACGGTGCTACTACTGGCGAATCCACGCATTATCATCTAGAGACAGGCTTTCCGAGGCGGCAGCTAGACAATTTAGAAGAAACCATTGAGGATGCTGGTCTGGCAAACTCTATACTTTTTCAGACCTTCCGTAATCAAACCTCTTAGCTTAGATTACTATTTTCCAAAAATTTACTTTGGTATATGGTATATGCGGCAATGCTTTTGTATTTTTCTTTAATCAAAACTTCTTGTAGTGAATTTTTATTTTTTCATGTTAAAGAAGAAGAAAAAAAAAGAGTCACTTTTTAGCACCGCTGCTATCTAGGGAAAGAGGTACTACTTGTATGTGGCTGATATTATTCCCATGGTAGTTCTTTTTCTGTATTGAAGTGTATTATAGTTATAGACTTGTGTGTCTGTAGCATGGTTCAAGATTGTATGGAAGTCAATTGCCTTACCTAGACACAAACTGATCCTGTGGATTGCAATCCATTCTAAGCTTGCCACACTTGATAGCAACCAGGACTCTCCTAGGATTGTGATGTGCCGTCTGGCTCTTGCATCTTGTGTATACGAGATATGGCAAGAAAGAAATAGTAGGATTTTTAGGAACTCACCTGCCTCGCCAATGAGGGTCTTGAAATCAATTGTTTGACAGCTTCAAGGAATCCTCAAGTTAAGAATCTTGCTGATGAATGGTCCTCAGTTTCAATTGCTCGTCGCCCACCACTGATGCCTCCGGACTGAAATCCAGGTGTGGAGGGGAGGGCCATGTCTACAAGTCTGCTCTCTCCTTCACCCTCGCTGTGGATTCTAGGCGGACAACCACCTCTACGCTATCACTGCCGTTATAAATGGTAATCCGTTGTGTTCTTGGGATGGGCTGGGTTAGGGCCTTTATTTTTGGTAATCTTGCTGATGAATGGTCCTCAGTTGAAGATTACTAACTTATGTTTTATGCTTTTCGTTGAGGTTAATTGCAAACTCAGCAAGAATTGCTGCTTAATTAATTAATTGGCCAACACTACTACAACGTAATTAGCCAAACTCTAAAATTATCAAGAATATCAATGA